CTGCTCAGTCCGTCTGGGAATCTGTGCCTTGGTGCCCCCAGGTGACTCCCATCAGCTTAGGTGAGAACTCCACCTTGGAAGAAGGACCAAGCCAGAGAATGGAGTGTCCTGGGAATCCCAAGACCACCAAGCCAGCTGTGGCCACCTGCTGCCCTGCCACCATTGTTCCCACGCACCCCGTCCCTCAAAAACGCCCTCATAGGCCCAGCTCTTCTCCCCGCAGTGAGGACCCCCCTCCGCCCTGCTCAGACTCTTGCAGAGCACTAGAGGGAGATCTTCGGCCCCCCGCTGACCACAGGATCCCAATCTCCAAGCTGGAGTCTGCCGCCCAGAGCGGAAAGCAAGAAAATGGGGCGGGAGCGCGGGTTGTCATAGGAGTCGCTGCCAATGGGACAAGGGCTGCGGGTGGGCGAGTGTGCAGAGGTTCCGGGGAGGACTAAAGGACGAGGGACAGAGGCGCGGGCGCGTAGGGAGACCGGCAGGTGTCGTCCGGGCCTCGCCCCCAGACCCGACCCCGCCCCTTGCCCCGCCCCGCCCATCTCCCGCCCCCTCGCCTCGTACCGCCCCGCCCGCCGTCCAAGCACCCGGAGCCAGCTCGGCGCGGGCACAAGGTGCGCGGCCGTTGGGCGCCGCCGCCCGGTGAGTGCCGCCCCCCGCCCCTCCCGCAGGCGATCCCGCTCTCCTCTCCGGCCGAGGTCCCGCGCAGACCTGCACCCTCTCCGGGGGTCTCACACTCTGCGCGCAGCCCGGCCCGGGCTCCGCCGTGTCCCCCTCGCGCCCCCTGTGCACTTGCGGGGCGCCCCTCTGCCGCCCGCGTCCCTCGTCTCCCTCCCTCCGCTCCTAGCCTCTGCAGCTCCATATCTTCCATCTCCTCGTGTCCCCCGCGCCTAACCATCCGCGCGCCGCCGGGACCCCGGGACCGCCCGTGTACCCGGGTCGGGGCAGAAGCCCCAGGGACCCAGACGTTCCCGCTGTGCCCACCGCACCGCTCAGGTCCCGACCTGCCCGCGGTGGAGCTGGAGGGCGGGCGCGCACGGGGAGGGCGTCCGAGGCCGCGGCGTGGGCGCCCCGCGAGGTGGGGTCAGCCACTCGGAGCGAGGGGCAGGCGAATGGTGTGGCTGCGCCCTGCCGGGCCCATGGGTCCACGAGCGGCGGAAGGATGGCAGGCATAGCCGGACCAGGGGCCCTGCAGCTGGACGCCCGAAGACTCCGGGCCTGGGCCTGCGGTTCCTGGGGGTGCCTCACACTGGACTGGGGAGGCTGCGTGCTGGGAACGGAGCCCCCGCCTGTCCACAGCTGGGAGCTGTGGCCTGAAGCCCACCTGGCTTCTAAGCACACCCGCCCCTCCTCAGAATCAAAAACGCACCCCATAGCACCAGTGACGGTGACCCAGCATGATTCCAGGTAAAATAATGACCAGGTTTCTGAGAAAGAGTACTTGGGGTGGAAAGCGTCCTTGGAAACACTCAGAGGCGCCTGCAGGGCAGGCTGAGACTCTGAGGAGGGCTGTGCTGGCTCTGGGCTCCCTGCTGCTGACCCAGGCCAGCCACAGTTTCCCCTCATGGGGACTGCAGGCTGCCTTAAGGACAGATGGAGTGTGCTTGGGGCAGGAGTGAGGACTGCCATTGGCTGCACTCCCAGGGCAGGCCCTCCAGTGGGGGGCGCCAGCCCGCCACGAGCCCACCCTCGGCAAAAGAGATCTGCTTTTGTTCTTTGCTGCCCTGTGGTCTCACTCAGGAGTTGCAGCGTTTACTGGGGACGGTGGAGCCAGGGGTCTGGTAGCTCACTGAGCCCTCTCTGGGTTTGGGGCAGCTGGGGTACCTGGGAGCAGCCTCAGAGGAGCCCTGAGCAGCTGAGAGCATCAGAGGAGCTTATTTGACTTAAAGTCAAACACATTCAGGAGCCACATGCCCCGGCGCACCCAGGGCCTGAGTTAAGATGCAGCTGAGCCCAACAGCCACCCCTCTCTCTGCCTCGCTGGTGAACAGCCCACCTTCAGGTGGCTGCTCTGTCGTCTCCACCAGTCCCCGTTGAGTCCCATGTGGAATGGGCTGAAATTCCTTCCTCGGGTGGGCGTAGCCCACGCCTCTGCAGCCGGGTGGCATCCTGTCCACCTGGACTCCTACAAAGCCCAGCCAGCTGTCCCCAGACTGCTGCTCTCCTAGAATTCATTCTCCACAGGCAGCCCAAGGGACCTTTAAACTTTCCTTTAAATGTGTGATTTCTTTTTAAAAGCATGTGCAGGCCCCCCTCCGTGCCAGCCCAGGAACAGGGAGCAGCAAGCAGCCCACAGGACAGCCTTGTTGGAGTCTCCCGGGAGAGGCCCTGCTCCCCGTCAAAGCCTCCGGGTAACGGTGGGCTCCAGCCAAACCCCACCTCTCCTCCCCTCCCCAGGAACACGCCTTCAGACTGCAGGGTCCGGAGCACGGCCTCAGGGACCCTTGCCTCCAAGTTCTATCAGCCCCAAACATCCTACCTGGACCTTTTAACTAGTGTTTTAATCACACACCTCATGAAGGGGCAGAACATGCCAGTGGCACTCATCACCAGGAGCTGCACATGCAGCGCCACACAGAAAATGTCTTTTCCTTTCTGCTGGTGAACTTTCCACTAAGTGGGGGGTGAGGGGGACGAGCTTTCTTGGTGTTTTGCTGGGAGACGCTGTGGCTCCCACTGTGCTCGCTGCGGATGGAAGCACACTGTCCTCAAGTCACTCCTTGTGGGTTTCCGTCTTGGCTCAGCTCTCTGGCTGGTATTCTGTAGGATTTTCTCTTTATCCCTGATGCTCTGCAGCAGCGGTGCTATTTTATTGTGGCTTTATCCTGTTTGGGACAGGTCTGGGTTGTAGAGCAGGACCTCATCAGCTCTGGAGGAGCCCAGCACCTCTCTGAATCACACGCCTCCACCCACCCCTCCAACCTCCCAATGCTGTCCTCACCCTCTGACCTCTGTGCGCCTGCCTGGTGTGAGTCCTTCAGCCCCTAGAGGTTCCAATTCACTAAAGTTCTCTTTAACTCTATCTAGACTAGAGCTGATCCTGACTCTTATAGGTTTTGGTTTTTTGTTTTGTTTAGTCTTTTTGTCTAAATGTCTGTTTTTCACACCCAAGATTTGTAATTTTTAAAACTAGACACCTGTTCATTTTACTTCTTAGGCAGAAGCCACGTTTATTTCATAATGTTTTCTCCATGCCTTATTTGAGGAGCCTAAACATATTTGAATGTATTCTAAGCATACTTGTTATATCATATTATTTTTATTTCACCTGAAACGGATCTGCCTTCCCCTTGTTGATTTTCTAGGTCATATTTCTTAGCGTGGATGAGCCACGTGAACTGGGGGATTTGGGGTTGTTGGTTCATGGGGAGGACAGGGTTTTCTTTTCGTTACTGTGAGTGTGGTTTGTTCTGGGCATTTCCCTTATCCTGTCTCTGGGCTCTCCATTCCTTGCCTACGAGATTTCAGATACCTCTGCCCAGTCCCCAGAGCCCCAGCCCAGGTCCTACCCTGGCAGTGGGTGGGGGGTGTCTTCTGTCGCGAGGTGACTGGGGGGTCACCTAGCTTGGCAGGTCGGCGGGCAGGCCCAGGGCTTCAAGGCAGGACATGCTGAGGGTTTCTCCTCGGGCAGGGGGCCGCCATCGCCTGGTACTTTGATTTGGGCTGCCCCTCCCCAGCATCACGAGGGGCTTATTTTCTTTTGAGCATCACCGTCTTTATGACGGATCTGAAACATACAGAAAAATGCAGAACACGCCCATCACCCTCACTTGCCCGCATCTGCCTTGGCTCTTTCTCTACAGAAGCCCCCACCCAGCTGAAGCCTCCCTTCCACCCTCCTTCCTTCTCTCCCCCAAATTTCCCCTGTACACTCCCACTCCCATGGCAGGGAGTGGGGAGAGTCTGGGAGGAGGGCCAGAAGCTCGGGTGGGGCTCTCCTGTGTCAGGCAGCATGGATGGCAGGAGCCCTCATGCTCCTGTCCTCCAGAGGAGGCCCTGGCCCCCATCCTGCCCTGTCCACCCCGCATCTCCCCAGCCCTTCCTCTCCTGCTGCACGGCTGTGCAGACCCCTCCCCATTATGTCCACTCTCACTGTGCGTTTCCTCCGGCAACTGGCTCGGGCTGTAATTACTCTGCATTTTGTGTGTTTGTTTGTTCCTGGTGAGGAGGGACAGCGTCTGCCTTGTTCTGTGCTGTGCCCTCTGCCTGGAGCTCAAGATAAGTTTGTCATTGCTGTGGCAGCAGGGGTGGGGGACAGACCCTGCCCTGGCCAGGCTAGAGGCTGAGGGGGCCAGTGCCACAGAGTTCTGGGCCCAGCGTGTGTCCCTTGAAGCTACAATGACAGCACCCTTTCCTGCTGTCCCCCAGGTCATCTTAGCCCAGCGTCACCTGTCCTACAGCATGCAGGCTGGCTGGCCACTGTCTAGGTGCAGGGAACTTCAGGGTCAGCACTGCTGCTCAGCCAGCCTTGGGAACAGGGCTGTGCTGAGGTGGTATCGTGGCCTCCTGACCATTTCCTGTCCCTGTTCACCACCCTCCTCTCCCTGTGGTCCTGTGGTTCCCAGGGAGGTGATGCCCACAGGGCCTCAGCCCTTACCTGTGAGGTGGGGGTAGCGGTGCCACCTGAAGGCTCAAGGGACCTCAGACTCGAGGGTGGACATGGCTGAGCAGGGAGTCATCTGGGGGTGTATGGGGGACAGTCACAGGGCGGCCACCGAAGTATCGACAGACGAGGTCATCTCGGCTCAGTGGGGCTGCCTGCCCTGCTGCTCCACCGCAGCTGTTCCATGGCTCCTTTCTCTCTGGGCTTGTTTTCCAAACAATTTGCTTAATGTGATTCCTGGCTGAGCTGAACACGACTAACTGTGTTTACCCGCCACCGTGCAATCCCGAGCCTCCTGGCAGGCAGGGCTGGGGCTGGCGCAGGAGAAAGGAATGCCTGGACGTGCCCGCCTGACCTCACCCTTCTACGTCTTCTCCTTCTCTTACAGATGGATGCTGCCATGGAGCCACTGCTCCTGGCCCCCACACCAAGCTGGAACGCCTCCGAAGACAGTGACAACGGGACGCTGGTGGGGCCAGCGCCCTCAGCAGGTGCACGGGCTGTGCTGGTGCCCGTGCTGTACCTGCTGGTGTGTGCCGTGGGGCTGGGTGGCAACGCGCTGGTCATCTACGTGGTGCTGCGCCATGCCAAGATGAAGACAGTCACCAACATCTACATCCTCAACCTGGCCGTGGCTGACGTCCTCCTCCTGCTGGGGCTGCCCTTCCTAGCCACACAGAACGCCATCTCCTACTGGCCCTTCGGCGTCTTCCTGTGCCGCCTGGTCATGACGCTGGACGGCATCAACCAGTTCACCAGCATCTTCTGCCTGACTGTCATGAGTGTCGACCGCTACCTGGCCGTGGTCCACCCCCTCCGCTCCGCTCAGTGGCGCCGCCCACGGGTGGCCAAGCTGGCCAGCGCCGCGGTCTGGGCCTTCTCGCTGCTGATGTCGCTGCCACTGCTGGTCTTTGCTGACGTGCAGGAGGGCTGGGACACCTGCAACCTCAGCTGGCCGGAGCCTGTGGGGCTGTGGGGGGCCGTCTTCATCAGCTACACGTCCGTGCTGGGCTTCTTCGGGCCGCTGCTGGTCATCTGCCTCTGCTACCTGCTCATCGTGGTGAAGGTGAGGGCGTCGGGCGTGCGCGTGGGCTCCTCACGGCGGCGGCGCTCAGAGCGCAAGGCCACGCGCATGGTGGTGGTGGTGGTGCTGGTGTTCGTGGGCTGCTGGCTGCCCTTCTTCATTGTCAACATCGTCAATCTGGCTTTCACGCTGCCTGAGGAGCCTGCCTCTGCCGGCCTCTACTTCTTTGTCGTCATCCTGTCCTACGCCAACAGCTGCGCCAACCCTGTCCTCTACGGCTTCCTCTCTGACAACTTCCGCCAGAGCTTCCGGAAAGTTCTGTGCCTCCGCAAAGGCGCCGGTGCTGAGGATGCGGACACCACCGAGCCGAAGCTGGACAAGAGCAGGCGGCTGCAGGAGGCCACGGTGCCCATTCGCAGCTCCGAGGCCAACGGGCTCATGCAGACCAGCAGGCTGTGAGGGGTGTGCAGAGGTACCCCCCTGCCCGCAGCCTGCAAGTCTGGACACTCCTAGCCCATGTCATGAGGACAGAGCTGTCTGGGGCCAGGCCAGGGTGGACACAGGGCAGCTGGCATCCTGCAGGGACCAACCGCCACTCCCAACAGCCTGTTCTCTGTGCACATTGGGGATCCCTGGGAACTGGGGGATGCCACGGGCACCTCCACTTTCCAGCCCTGCCACCAGTTCGTGTCAGCCTTCCAAGCCAGGGGAGCAATTTTTCCAGATGGCTGGCTGAGGGGAGACTGTCTTCCTGTCCATTGGTGTGCGCTGGTGACTCCCCCATCCCCGAGGCCATGCTGGGCTGCCTGGCCCCCTCAGGCACATGTGTCCCTGGCCTGTCAGCTCCATGTCGCTGGGTCAGAGTCCAAGTGCTACTCTGAAATTAAAGATGCCTGGCGTTCGCTCCCCAAGCACCCCAGGGGCTGGTGGCCGCACCAGCTCCTCACCGGCATGTAGTCGTGTTGACTGTGGAAGTGGCAGGTGCAAAGCTGTGTGGGCCCCAGGGCTTCCAGGGTCCACCGGGATTCCAGAGGAGATGCTGTCCTCACTGCCCCCATCCATGCCTGCTGCCCATCCCCCGATACTGCGTCTCCACTGGCCACAGCCGCTGTCCCAGAGTGGGGGCTGTGGGCACTGGCCCAGCCAGGGGCCCCATAGCAGGAGCAGGTGGGGAGAGATGGCGAAGGGCTGAGACTGGGGGTGGGGAATTGGCCCTCCAGGCTTCCTACGGGACACAGGTGGCCATGCATGTGTGATTGGTTCTGTCCAGGGGGCAGTGCAGGGGGCGTCACTGAGATGCAGAGGCTAGTGGGGAGGAGGGGACCTGCATCCCTCTCTTTTGCTTTTGGGCAGGGGCACTGGGTCCAGGAGAGTGAGCAGGAATGGGAAAAGGAGAGGTAAAAAATCCAAACGGCAGTGGGGAGAGCTGCCTCGCAGCACAAAGCAAATAGCAAGTGGCTGGGCAGGCAGTGGCTGCATGGGCGTCTGCAGACACCAGGAAATGCCAGGGCCCCGAGGAATTCTGCACCCCCCCAGCCCAGAACTCTCCCACCTCCCAGCTCTTGAAACGCCAGCTTTCCCTTCTGCCCCAGGCCCAGAATGTGGTCCCAGAGAACCTGTGCACCAACCGATCTTTGCTGGGGTCCCCAGGGCACCTCAGCCTCTCTGAGGCTGGAAGAAGGACAAGAGCGCGGGGGTCTCACTCAGCCCACGGACCCCTTTGCTCTGGACAGCCCTGCCTGAGGCCACCCCCAATGCGCTTCCTCCGTCTGCCCTGAGCAGGACCCCCGTGCCCCCAGGAGGGTGCAGGGGGCAGGTTGAGCAGTGCTGGGCAGGCCGGGCAGGGGATGGGCTGGTCAGCATTGCCAGTCTCAGGCGTGACCCTCAGACAAACTCGAGCCTTGCAATAGCAAGGGCACTCATGTTTGAAAACATGCTCCCCTGAATAAATTAGAGAATAAATGTTTGATTTTTTCCTAAAGCAAATATTGTCCCTGGAGCCAAGTGAAGCAGGCACAAACCAGAGCACATGGACCCTCTAAGGCCCCAGAGTGGGACGGTTCTGTGGGTGTGTGGCCACCCCAGCCCCCAGCCCCAGCCCAAGCTGAGCCCAGACAAAGCCAGCGTGGGGCGGCCAGACACCTGGCCAGAAGCGGGGAGCTGGGCAGTTACATGACAAGTGGAAACTGTAAACGGGGTTAAAAAAAAAAAAGATGGAAGTTGTCCAGGAGTCCCAGGCTGGGGTGGCCCTCACAACTGCCCACCTGAGTGAGCTGCTGTCAACTGGCTTCCTGGGCTTGGGGACAGTTCTGGGATGGGTGAGGGGGTCCTCCATGTGGGTCTCTGGAAGCTGGTGACAAAACCCACCCCACCCCACCCAGGGGACCAGCGTCGCAAGGAGGTGTGAGCCCAGGGTGCCCTGGGAGAAACTGAGGCCCATTCAGCCTTCCACTCCCACCACATTTTCTGGCCTCCCCTGGGGTTTGGATGCAAAGTGCATTGGCTCGGAATGACTTTGGGGAGTGAGCAGATGGTTCGGAAATCTCTGACCGGATCAATTTCTCCCAATTGATTTGACATTGTGAGCTCTGTCCCCAGGACTAAGCCATGTGCGAAGTGCAGGCGCCAGCAGTCTGATGGGCTCCCGTGCCCGCGGAGTGTGAGTAAGCATGTGTGCACTCGTGTGCATGCCTGTGTGTGTGCGTGCCTGTGTGTGCACATGTGAGAGCATGGGTGTGTGCCTGTGTGTGCACATGTGAGAGCATGGGTGTGTGCCTGTGTGTGCACATGTGAGAGCATGTGTGTGTGCCTGTGTGTGCATGCACGCAAGTGTACATGTGTACATAAGTGTACGCGTGTACACTGTGCCTGTGCATGTGCCCATGTGCATGTGTGTTCGTGCTTCTATACATGAATGTGCATGAGTGGGTGTGAGTGTGCGCCCATGTGTGCACAGGCGCTTGTGAGTGCACGTGCCTGAGTGTGCTCACATCTGCTTGTGTGTGTGCATGTGTGCTAGATGTCCATGGGGAGGTGGGCCATACTCTCTTACAGAGAAGGTGAGACTGGCCCAGTTGTGGCTTAGAATGGCTGGAACATGCTTCTTGGCGTACACCTCTGTCTTCCTAAGATCTTCTAGACCACCCTCCAGCACCCTCAGGACAGTCCAGGGGGTGTCTACCTCTGCCTATGATGGGCTGTGGCCCTGGTCATGGAATCAGAAGGAGGTGAGGGCTCTCCCTCTGTTCCACGCACCTCCTCTCCCTCCCCATCTCCTCCCCCTCACCCAGGTCCACTGCCCCCTGGGCCTCGCAGGCAGCCACCTCCCCACTCCCTGTGGAGGGGGTGTGACCACCAGACTCAGTGCTGGGAGAGGCCCTAAGGGGACCATGCACTTGTAACAAGGGGCGCCCTGGGGGGTGGGGGCCACAAGCTACCCAGGGCTGAGGGAGCTTGCCCTCCCTCCCCTCATGGTGGTCACCACTCACCTGGCCCCCACACCTTGGGCACCCTGCTCCCTACCTCGTCCAGCCTCATGCCCCGGCCACGCTCCCGCTGTCTGGTCACCGCCACACCTTGCTCTTGGCCCTGCCCTTGCCAGGTGCACCCTCTCCCCAGACCAAACCTGGGCAGTGCACAGCCTCCTCTTCCGGACCCTCCCTGATGATTCCCACCACACAGACCCGGCGGGGGGCGGACAGTAAGCTCCAGATGATGACCCCAACAGCTGGGCCTGCCCACCCTCTTACTGCCCAAGCCCCTGACCTGGCAGACCCCTGGACACAGGACACATGTGTGCTCCTCGGACAACAATGGTGTGCACTTACTGTGTGCCCACACGGGGTTGGTGGGGATTCAGAGTGGAGCTGGAAGAGCATTCCAGGTAGAAAGAACAGCATGTGTGGAGGCTCAGAGGTGAAGGAGTGCAGGTGCATGAGCTCATCACCTTGGCTGGGGGTAGGGGTTCTGGGGACAGGTGAGCCAGGAGAGAGGAGCAGATGCAGGCCCCCCAAGCCCTTCCTGAGGGGGCCTTATCCCAGGGTGCCAGGCCAAGGAAGGATGAAGCTGCAGTCTCCATAGTGTAAGAGAAGAGAATGGATCAGAGAAGGGAAGAGACTAGTGTGGGGAGAGCGTGCAGAGGCTGAGTTGTCCAGAACAGGAGTGATGGTGTGTGGGGTTGGGTCAGGTTAGGGGTGGGGGTTACAAAGGTGTTTAAGTGGCAGAGTCAGTGTCCCTGGAGACACTGGGGGTAGGGGGCAGTAGCACCATGCTTGTTCCTACTTGGGGTACATGGCAGGATGAAACCCCAGGGTCTGATGGACCAAGTGGCCTGAGGAGCCTATGGGATGTTCCAGGAGATTTCAGGCACCCCATGGATCCTGGGGACGACACTTGGCCAGTGTGGACAATCCCCAAAGCCATCAGGGAGGAGGCGAAGACCTGAACACCCCTTGGATACCTGCACTAAAGTCTGGTGGGGTGTCAGGCCACTTGTCCCAGGAGGAGCAGGAGCCCTGGTCAGCCACGGTGGGTTCCGAGGATGCGGATAACCCTGGGCCGCTCCCCACTGCCCCAAACGCAGGCCAGCTATGCCCCGGCCCTGGGCCTTGGCCACCTCATCACCACCACTGAGGGGTAGGGAAGGGCTGCGGTGGATGAGACACTGGTGGGGGGATCCCGGGGGGGGACGGCACCGAGCAAACATCCTCTGGGTGGAGCGGTGACTGCTTGGCCGGCTCTGTCCACATGGGTGGGTTTTATTGGCCACTGGGCTCCAGCAACTCCCAGAGTGACCTTGCTCAGGAAATCCGGCCCTTGAGGGCAGGGATAAGGAAGGGGGCAGGAGGCGTCTGTTTGCCCAGCTGGGCAGTGTGTGGGGGAGGGTGGGGCAATAGGGGAGTACAATGAGGGAAACCGAGGTTGCACCGTCCTGGGGGCATGGCAGGACTGCCAGGCCTGGCGGGTGGTGGCTTCTCCCAGCTCCCATCTGCAGGAGCCACATTGGGTGGCCTGGGTGGGGTCCTGAGGAGGGGTCAGGAGGAAACTCCCCCAGCAGCCCACCCCTCCCTTGGGGGTCCCAGGGAAGGAAGGTGGGGGGACGGGGGTGGGGGTGCGGTCTCTGTGATCACCAGGTCCTGCCCTCTCTCTCTGGCAAAGCACTGGGATGGCTCCCCTCCCAAGTGCTTTCTCCTCCGTCCCCATTCCAGCCCGCCAAGCCCCGTCCTGGCCACAGCAGCCCCCATGCCCACCATGGCCCCACGTCACCTCCCCACACCGCCACTTTCTCCCTCTTTCCCCAGACACAAGCCTATTCCTGCTTCTCTTCTCACCACCTCCGTGGCTCCCTGCCCCCCACCCATGTTTACTGGGGTCCCCAGGCCACTCAACCTGAGTAGCACAAGGAGGGTTTAATAAAAGGACGTTTTCTAGAGTGGTGGGTGACACGGTGCTCTAGGCTG